TGTGTAGTGTTTCAGATCTTCAGCAAAATTATGAATTGTCTGGCGCATGGGACACTACTGTACATGATCAGGGACAATCAGCCTTTCAGAAATACAGCCTACTTACTCACAGAACACTAACATGTTGCCAATAGCTTTTTAATTCAGCTTTTTGATGTACCAATAACTTTGTTATGAAAAAGCAAGCATGCTTTCAGTAAATCAGTTCTGCATGACGGTGTCCATCTATATATAAAATTAATAGAAAGCGCACTTGTACACATTACTGAAGTACGCAGCACAATATCCAGACTCTAAAAAAGAAAGCTTCCTGTAATGTATCGCAAATGGTTTGGGTAAAACTTACATGGCCTTGCAGGAATACTATTAAAATCAATAGGAACTCTAATAGGATCGAGCCCTTAATGCAACATTTGTAACGTCTGCAATATCAGAGCGTATGTTCAGATTTTATTGAGGCTATTTGCCTGTATAAAGGCCCAAAGATTGGATCCCTAAGCATCTGTGATATGCTACAGTCAACTGCCACAATTATGATTTGTTTTTACAGCAAATTAGCATTACACAGCCAAGTATAATTATGTAGCCAGCTGGGTTTTTGCAAATTCCTTACCGTTGTAGGAACAGTCTTATTTGCTTCTTGATAGACATGTTGTTCTGAGACTAAACTGCTAGGGAAATAACCAACTGTCCCCATATGGTCTTCATACTGTTCTCCATAAACCTTGAAGCAAGGAGATGTATGATTAGGAATACTTAGAACAGTCCTCATCTGGTTTGAGCTAGTTCATAATTTAGTCAAAAGCAGTTACTAATAGTATTTCTTACTCTGGTTTCAGATTTCCTAGTTTCCAATTAGCTGGCACATGAAACGAACCATTAACACAAGGAGTAAACTAATACCACCTATAGTTTATCTTGATTTTTTTTTTTTTAATAAATGCAGCTAATATTTATCTTTGCTTCCCTTAAATTTAAGAGTTTTATGACCAACTGTGTTAACAGCTTTCTCCTCCATAGTTTCAGCAAACAGACACAGAAAAGAGCTGTTGAGCCCTTCTGTTATGGTTCAGTTCATAATTAAGATATAATTATTGAAGATATTTCATAAAAAAAAATTAAATCCCTCAAGACTCCTCAATCAGTTTAAGCTTAAACATTCACTTTGAAAACTAAGTTGCTGCTCTAAAACCCACAATAGTGCAGCGTTAGCATCTATTTCTTGACAGAAACGCATGTTAATCTACTTCTGGTTTGCTCATATACACAAGAATCTCCTCTTACACTTCCAGCCCAGAATTCTCCAGAGTCTTTTTCTTTCACTAGTTTTGAGTAAACATAAATCAACTGCCCTTTTTTAATATTAATGAATCTGCAGTCTGGAGCATTATAATCCTCTTCTGCTCTGGCAAGGGAAATGGTGTCTAGAAAAAAAAAATAAAAGAATGAGGTGGACAAATTTAAATAGATATATACTTTTATAGAGAGAAATGTAAATACATGTGTGCTTGCATGCATACATGTAAAACCACTTCTACAGATAAAAGTAGGTTATCCTGAGATTAACAAAAGTCTTCAAGAATTTGTTCCGCTCATTTTTCTGTTCTCCAGTAAGCAAAGTAACAGCTTAAGAATGCGCCCTTTCATCATAGTGGAAGTTACAATCCCTCTCTCTACATTTACCTTTCACTTGAGTGAAGAACGCTCTTTATAGAACCCTTTTTGCAGTAAAGCTGCGTGTGACATTCCCCGTAAACCCTCCACTCTGCTTCTGAAGTTGACAAGCCAATACAAATATAATGGAGCTAAATGAGCAGAGTTTCCCCTCGCATTACCACATCCAAACTCCGCAGTCATTGTTGAGACTATTTTGCCCTCAAAATTAAAGCAAAATTACTTACAGACACAGTTGTCATCAGCACACAGCTTCTTGCTGGCAAGCTTGTCCATAAAGATTCCAGTTACAAGAGGACACATTAATCCGAGACACAAAAGTAAAACAACCAAATAAACACGTCGTGTCATTTTTCTTCGCTGCAGCGCTTGCTGAATGCGCGCCGGGTCCGGCGATCCCCGTCTTTTATGGAAGAGGCAGACACCTGGACAAACACGCGAGGCCAATGGGGAGGGGTCGGGGCAACATTCCACCCCACCAGAGCCGCAGGCGGGAGGAAGACCTCAGGGTCCACTCATGAAACCGAATCCCTTCCCAAAGCCATTCTGCATTAACATTTCAATCAGCAAATGTATTGCTTAAACATTTTAAGCCTTCCTGTAGTTGTCCGTAGTCTTAATCTTACCTCAAGCAAAGTTTGAGAATGAAAATTAAGTCAGACCCTGGTAAGCAGCAAAGGAAATTACATCCTTCCAAATCCTCAAGTTCTTCATTTTCCTAAATGCTCACTGGCAAATGTAATCTTCCCTGGATCATAAACCCTCTGTGGCAGCGATTTCCCCATTATGGTCTACAGAAAGGACCTACTAGGACCCTAGCACATGGGTGCAAATGTAAACAAACCATTTGGGAGTTGAAACACAGTAAAAATGCTTTGCACGTCAGCAATTTAAATTTGAAGTCTAAAAGTTCAAGCACTGCATACTTGTATAGGCAAGATCCCTTCCTCAGGGAGATGCAGTCAAGAGCAAAACACACAGGTTATGCCAGGACAGCGACCATTCCACTTTTATTTACATAGCTGAACTCAGTTGAGAGTTTGCAGATGCAAGACGCTGAACAACATACAGTGCCACAGGCTGACTTAACAGGTCCTCTTTACGCCTTGGAGAGGACATCTAGAATTCATCTAACTTCCCAAAATCTTGTCCCAGCATACATGAGGCCAGACTTGTATGCAGTATTTTAATTAAAATAGATGCACACACATAAGGAACAACCACTGGAGTTACCACACTGCAAAAGATTCACATGACAGCTGTCAGGCTACAGAAGGCTGGTCTGGATCAGTCCTTTAGAAGTCCTTTAGAAGTGACCAAGAGCAAGTCTGGGAATTCCCAAAGTGTCACTCCAGAGAACCAGCACTACCTGATTCAGGAGGAGGCCTGAAGAGCTGCTGGCTGTACCAGTTTTCAGTCAGCAAGCAAAACGGAGGAAGCTATCAATTGTCATCCAAAATCCCACACTCTCTAAATTTTAAAGAAAGAGCATCTTGCAATTTCTAGCATCACCCTCCTATCACAGCTGACTTCGCCACATTCTCCTCTAATCTTCTAGCCCATTACTCCTTCCTCCAACCTCCTGTATGTAGTGTCTGACTTCCTTTCCAGACAGCTCCACGCAAACCCTTCTAAGTGAGTAAAAGCGAAGAGCGGTGGTATGCAATGGTAGTCTCATGTACACAGACTAGTGGGATGCAAGGACAGCAGAACTATCTATAAAATTATGACTGCAGAAGGAAAAACATAAGGTTCACAACAGTAACATAGTCACTTTTGCTCCCTTACAGGCACATTGAAACAATTTTCACTTGCAAGTATTAGAATACTTGTGAAATCACACACACACAAAAAAAAACCACTGAAAAGAATGAAAAAATACATATATGGAGATACAATAGTAATTGAATTGACATGACACGGGAAGGGGCATCGTCTTGCCATGTACTCTGGGAGCAGAAGATGAAAGATTTTTCAGGTCTCGTGCAAAAAAGGTCGTTTATGTAGCTAGTTTTATGCTTACAGATGCACTGAAATATAGCACTTGCTCAGGAATTGAGTGGACATGCCAGAACTACCATATATAATATAGCAAGAAGTATACCACGGTTTTCTAAAAATCAATCACGCTTTCCTCAAGGTGCAGCACTTTGTCCAGAGAACAGTTTTAAGTCAGATCTCAATTGTTTCAGAACACAAACTGGGGGAAACAAGATGATCTGCAGCTACAGCCGAGCCCACACAACACAGGAAGGGACTGCACTGAGCCACAGTCAGAGAGGAAAGGCTATGGCTTCCAGCATCCTTCCTCCTGCCCTCACTGACCAAATTACTTTGGAACTTCATCCCTTCTTTGTCTGAAAGGGTAAGTAAGAGGCCTCACACAGAAAGCATTCAAGAAGTGAGGAATGGTGCAACATGACAAGCGCTGTGCAACTGCTTCCTCTCAAACATTAATCAATGGTCTGATTGCAATCCTCCTAGCCAACACCATGCAACAGTTACTGCAAGATTCACCAAAAATATAATCATATTTTAAGTAAATTTCATTATTCTCTTAACCGAAAATATCTTTCTAGGTCTTCCATCACCTGAACAAAACACAAGCCTTTGAAGTGATCTTTGCACCCAAATATTTAGAACAGTTACAACTCACAATACTACATCTGATTACTTCACTGCATTTAGTGTATTTCATGTCACACAAGACCTGTAAAAGTTTCTGACAAATGAGAAAAAAACCCCCCAACCTCCCCCCCGCACCCCGCCAACAAACCCAGAAGCATTAGGACATGTATTTTGGAAAAACCTGCCGAAAAATGGACCACCAGGCTCCTCTGCATTGTCTTTGTAAAGAGCCAGAAAGCTCTTCCTAAACCATTTATTAAAATCACTGGTAATAGGGCTGGAAAGAGCAGAAGACAAGACAACAGATAAGCTTTTACGTTTCTTCTGTGGACCTGCTTCTACTACCAGCCATCATTGTAAAGACAAAACCAAGTTGAACAACAGTGCTGTCAAACTGTAATCAATTTCTACCCATACCTGGAAAAAAACCCCACTAATAATAAGTCACAAAATTATTCTTGCTGAAAAGCAGCTGTCCCCTTGATAATGAGGCTGACAATTGAGTGTTGCATTTATTCCGAATATGCTGACATTTAGCTTTCCTGCTCACGCTTTTTGCTCTGGAAAGACAGCTATTTTTCCAGCACTCACTTCTGAGAAATGAGTTTCACCTTAAAAGTGGTTAAACCAATATACTGAATAAGCCCTGCAAGCCTAACAGATCAATAATAAGACAGATTTGAGGAAAAACATGGCTTGAAAAGAGCATAAACTGAATTTATTTTACAAAAATTAGTATTTCAACACAAAAATTTACTATCCAGTAGATCCGTGGAAATCCTACATCTGTCCTGCCTGTTGTGGCAATTTTAGACAAGTCTTAAGTTTTTTGCAGAGAACAGCAAACATGCTAGCTGATCAAAGACATTGTATTAAAAAAAACCAACTATCCACAGAAGTCCTTTATAGGAGCATCTGGTTATTTCTTCGCATAAGTGATTTTCATGGCATGAGATGGAGTAATCTTGAATCCCTGGAGAGCATCTCGAGCAGCTCCTGCTTGATTCTCATTTTCAAACTCCACAAATGCAATGTCATGGCGCCCAGGCACTAAGCGTACTTCTTTGAATCCAGGAAACCTTTAAAATAAGGTGAAAGAGTCAGATAATATTTTCTAGTTTGGTAATACATCTCTCTTCAGTAGCCATAAGACCTTACCATAAGCATTTACTGGTATAATAGTTACTACTAATGAAAGATTTAAATTGAAGGGTTTTACATGTCCAGTCCTTAGAACCGTGCCTCAATTAAGGATCACTACATGGAAGCAATTTAATCAGTCTTGTGCATATACAGAAGCAACTTAAGCCAGTTTTAAAACTGCTCCTGCTGTCGTAAAGTCTTTAATATTACAGTCACCCGCTTAAATCCGGTGCAGATTGATAGTAGATAACTTACACAATCAAAACCAGCTATGAAAAAATCCGATTTGCTTTCTGCACCAAGTCATCAGAATGGACATCTGTAATCTTGGCAGCAAGACAAAGAACTGAAATACCTCCAGATGAAACTCTTATTTCTAAAAAGCCAGCTTGCCAACTGAGAAAAAGCATACAGGTAACAGAAGAATTCAAAGGAGAAGTCCTTTCTATTCAAAACTTACTGATTGAATAACATGGACAGCATCATCTCATTTGTTTCCTCAGGCAAGTTATTAAGGAAAAGGATATAGTTTGGTGGGTTATCAGGCACCTGCAACAACAGAAGATCAAAGCTCAGAAGATTATACACAGCTCTCTGTTCCTCTGCATCTGTCTGCATGATTATTTGTACCAAGACTCACATATCCCTAGCTTTGCTCACAACACTGCTAGCTGGACTTCAGTGTACCTTCATGCAATATGCAGAGCCCCTTGGTTCTTTTACAATGATACACTAATTTGGAGAGGCTCTTATTTCCACAAGAATTACAGTAACATATTGGCTTAGATGTCATACTTAAACTTGTCAACTCAACAGCTGATACTGCAGTACTCTCAGCACTGTCGGGGTGAGACCCAGGTGCCTAAGGACTGGCTGTAGTGCTGTCCAGGACACCAGTACGGCAGTGGAAGAACCCATGAAAGACGCGCATCCTTCCGGAAGAGCAGTGGGAGGCCAAGATAAATACCCTGTTCATCTGCAGTAGTACCAAAATACTGACTTTCGGCAACTGAAACCCACAAAACCCACATGGTGTTACCACAGTGCTCAACTCAAATTTACTAGAAACCCCATTAGATTTAAAGCTTTAGAGTCTTTAACAGATTTGCCTGCTAATATGAATTTGCAGCAACCCATCAGACACAAGGCTGAGTAGTTAGTTTGCTGACACTGGACTGAAAGGCTGGAATCTCCTTAAGTCATCAAGATTACAACAACAAAAAGAAACCGGACGCCACAATTTCAAACATCCTAATAATGGTGCCAAGTAAGTTACGCCTCATCAGAACAATTTCCTTCAGCTGATGGAAATATTCCAGACAGTGCCATTAGAAAATAAACTTCTGAAGTTCAAACAAACACCTAAATACTCAGTCTTGTGCTTCAATGCAAACTGACATACACATACCATGCCTTGTTAGAAATGACACCTGATAGAAAACCCAGACTGGCAGCAAGATGTTTTCCCCTGTGGATTATGTATGCAATTCTCAATTACAGTACTCAAGAAGGAGATGCATGGCAGGGTAAGATATTCTTCTGCAGTATTTGCCCTCCTGCAAATCCTGGCTCTTCAGTACCTCCACTTCTAACACACATGAATCATTGAGAAGGTCACTGAGCAGACAACGTGAGCGAAGCTGTCCCAATTTCAGCTGGGATAGAGTTAATTTTCTTCCTAGTAGCTGGTAGAATGCTATGTTTTGGATTTAGTGTGAGAATAATGCTGATAACACACTGATGTTTTAGTTGTTGCTAAGTACTGCTTATGCTGGTCAAGGACTTTTCAGCTTCCCATGCTCTGCCGGCGAGGAGGTGCACAAGAAACTGGGAGGGGGCACAGCCAAGCCAGCTGACCCAAACTGGCCAAAGGGCTATTCCATACCATA